AAGTCCAAGTGTGTAAAACCTGGAACACTTCACTAAATTCCTCCCCAGGTAAAAAGACCAAGTCAGCTCGCTGAAGAGAGCAGGAATTCTATGCAGCTGAGAAACCAAAGGTTTTCTCTAGGTTTCCTGGGGAGGCCTACCTTACAGCAAGATCAGTGAAAAAAACCTTTCAAATTCAGATTTGCAAAGGTGGCCCCATAAATCTGGCAGAACAGCTTATGGCAAGCTCTGATATTGCACATTCTTTTTGTCTTTAGGTGCATAAAATGTATATCAACACCTCCTCTGACAGGATCACTTTGCTTGTTTTTGTGTATTTAGGATTTATATAGTAGCGTTTAATCAGATCTTACAACTTCTCTGCTTTTACATACACAGGTAGTTGACTACTGAAAGATAGGCTTTGCCTCACATTCTACAATTTAACTACAGCTATTTTCAAATTCATGTTTTCAGATGTTCTATTTTCACATTTATCTTCTGCCAGAAATATTGTCTGGCATGGTATTAAATAAGGGAAAAAAAATTATTCCAGATGATATGTCATGGCAATCACAGCAAACAGAAGTCATAGACTTTGAGAACATCATTACAAGCTGATCATCCTTTAAAAATATTTAACAAAAAGCTCCTGGGTCTGCTTTAGCAGCTGAACCTGAACTCAGCGAGGAAGTGACTGAACAGAATCAGACATTCTCATTAAGTAAAATTAGCCAAGTGCAATTTGCCTGGCTGGTTCCCTCTATGTATTAGCATTTATATTCAGTCAGTGATGAGCATAATCAGGTTTTTTGAACAAAAAGGAACAGTCTCCTCAAAACCCATAAACCTATCAGGTTTATTAGTAACAGTTTGCACTTCCATTGTAAAAAGGCAGTTAAGAAACTGAAGAAAATTGCCTGTTCAGAAGTGTATCTGAGTAGCTACCAGCAATCTTTCCTCATAGCAGGAACATGACCTCACATACATGCTGGCTGATTGCTGTCAGATTTACTGGAGACAAAAGGAGATATTTCACTAAAGGGCAAATGCCAGGAGCTACAAAGAGCTGCCACAGGGCCTCACTGGAAGGGACAGGTTTGCCCTCTGATTGCAAAGATTGGATCACAAGGTCTTTTCCCTCCTTCCTCAATGAATGCATCTCTAAGGGCTGTCAGGCCCAAAAAACAGAAAAGGGAATGTGGTGGCATCTAAGGAGATAAGCATCAGCAACACTGCTGATGTGACAAATAGAGAGCAGAAACAGCCCCTGAGAGCCTGGTCCTGCTGGAGGGCACTTCCCTGCAACAGCAGCAGCAGAGCTGAAGGTGAGAGGCTGCAGGAGCACCCAGATGTGGCAGGAAGGTGCTGCTGATACCTCCATCAAATGTAACCACACACCCCTTCTGAACATCAGAAGGGAAGCAAAAAAATTTCATAGATTTTAAGAGAAGCTATGGAAAGCAGCACTGATGAAAAAAAAAAGGTTCCACACAAATAGCTTGTTTTGTAAAATTCAACTTGGTAATGCTCCTGTCAGCCAGCTGGGCACAAAGTATGTCCTAACACGTTGAGAGCTTTGAAATTTGTTATAAGTTATGCCTCAGTGCATCCTGGCTTTCAAAGCATTACAGCAACAAAAACTGGCCAAAGGAACAGCATTGCTGCAGCCCTTCCCACATGCACTGCACACCTACGAGGCATAAGGAAAAAAACAACTTAATGACAATCACCCCAGAATTACAATTTGTAACTCTGGTTGTTCTCTTAAGGCAGACAACTGCTTTATCTGAGCAGCATGAAATGAGGCTTTGACCCTCTATTGTTTGCTCCTCTTTCCTTGGGTTCATGGCTAACTGCTCTCTTTACAGCATGTTTCTATAGTGACCAACTGCTGAACTGATACTCAATATATTTCACTTTTCACCTGCCATACTTCAGATTTGTAAACTCAGAATGTTATTTAAACAATATTCCAAAAACTTACCCTCAGGCTGTAGTAAGAGATGGCACATGATGAAGCGATGGTGGATACTTCATCACTCTAACTTCCCCAGCTCTTGAAAAAAACCAAATAAATGCACCATTTATAGATGAAAGAAAATTTATCACAACTCAGTAACAATTACTTGAGAAGCCAATACATAAGGGGTCAGGAAGAAACAAATTTCCAATATCTCAGAGAAGTACCAGACTCCTCCCTTTCAGGCAAGCATTTAATTTCTCCAGCAGCTTTTTTATTGTGCCTCAGTTGCATTAAGAGCACTTTGCCTCACGTACAGCCCCTTCCTAGAGTAACAACCAGGACAGCTTTTACAGGAGGATAAAGCACTGTGGTCCCCAAAGGAGACAGGAGCCCATTTTTAAACCCATCTGGCAATGAATCATCCTCCCAAGATAAAGACTGAAACATTAAGAGGGGAATACAGTAGGTAGAAGTAATGCAGAAACAATTTCAAAAAGTCAGCTGGTTCAAGTTTAACACACGCAAATAAACATTATGAGAGGGGAAACAAGAGTGAGATGTGAAGCACTGAGCAGGAAGATCAGGTGTATTTATCTTCCTGGAAGCTGGAAGATATTAAACTGTGCTTTCTGCTAAATTGCTGCTGCCAGTTATTGACAAAGTTGTCAATTATCCAGGATTATTTAGACTGATGATACCTGAAGAAATGAGGATTTAGAAACACTTGGGACTAAAAGGGGAGATAGGAATACCCTGCAGATGATAAATGGAGTGGATTGAAAGAAAAAGAGCAAAGAGACACTTTCAGAGGGTATAATTAAATATCCTTAATTAACATATTACACTACTACAATGAAACCAACTTTCAAAGCTGGATTTTAGAAAATAATTATAACTGAGTGGATGAAAGACTAAGACCCTTCTATACCATAAGACTGGCATAGAATTTATTCAGATAACTTCTATTTTGCTAAAGTTTAAATAACATAATTATACTTTAAAATTGCACTGACTGTGCAGGTCTGCAAGCAGACAGATATTAAATCACCATTAGATGGATTTTACTGAAATTGGTCAGACCATGCATTAAGGAAAGAGGACAGTGCTTGATTTCAATAGCTGAGTAATCACATAGCTTAATGCACATGGATAAAGCAGGTACCAACAGGTAAGTAAGTTACGTAGCAACAGGGAGAATGTTTTTAAATTGGTCCAGGAATAAGAATTCATTTTGAGCAGGGATTTGTAAAGCATCTTGTAATTCTTGGAAGAAGCTTCTTACAACATCACAAAGCACTGCTCTATGAAAACATACTCTGCTGGAGTAAGGGATACTTGCTACCACAATTTTTTCAACAGAATGAAAGATATTTTACCATGTTCATGAAGGGACAGTTGACAGGTTAGGATTTCAATGCAAGACTTGCAGTAGTTAGGCCTAAATCATAGTTTTGGCATTATTTGGACACACAAGTATCTTAGCTCTTGCCTACATCTCTTATATACAACGTGTCACAGTTGAGACAGCCACAATACACAGAGCATCATCATACAATTTCAGAAAGCTTCAACCCATGCAGAGTAGCACCTTACCATTTCAGAAGGCTTCAAGCATCTGCCCATGCAGAGTAACATCATTCCAAATGTCTGTTCTTCTTGTTCTTCAGCCCAGCCTTTTATCCCCTCGTGCTGATGCCCTGCACCTGTGTGCCCTCTGTTCCCTGTGTGGTTGCTCAGTGCCCCTGGGCACTCCATGGCTCATTGCTGGCAGTGCTGCTCACCTGCTGCTCACAGCTGCACCTGCTGGGGATGAGGCTGGGCCAGCCCCACTCCCCATCACCACAAACTGGGGACCTACAGCAATGGAGCAGCAGTTCCACCCTCCCAGGCTACCTAAATCCACAGCCAAGGTATCAGGGATAGAATTGATACAGGGATGTACAGCACAAAAAACATTGACATAGAGGCTGTCAGGTATATGGCAACACCCCAGTGTTACTTATACAACCATTCCAAAATAATTTTGGTTACTCACATTACATAAATTGCATATTACCAGGGTTTATCTGCCACGCTATCAGGAATTCAAGTTACTTTCGTTAATCAGGAAGAAGAAATGCAGAATGCCAGCTGAAGGTGTTCAGGAAAGGTGAAGAAGCCAAGCAGAAGCCAGCAAAGCCTAGACAGAACATGCTGACAAGACAGAGAGGGCACTGAAACACTAAATTGGCTATTTCAGGTAATATCACTGAAGATCAATGTACTTCAGACTGTATCTGTCCACACAGCTCCTCCCTCAGTCTGTGTCTGAAGTCACAGGGAAGTGTGTAATGAAATACATTATTTCAACAAAGCATATAAGCTTTAAAAAAAATCTATAATGGCTGTTGCAGCAGCCAATTCCAAATGTAATTTATAAATACAGAATTCCTCAGTCTTTTTATTGCCATTTTCTACATATCATAAGTAGAAAAGTTTAGGAAATAAAAGGAAAAACCCCCAACAACAAACCACTAACACTTCATTTTGGTTTGCTTGGCCTTAATTTTTCTGCAAGACACGGCACCCCTCTGCTGGGCAAGAGCAGATCTAGCAGCAGGGAGGGGTGAACCAAAACTGATGAACAGTAAAATAAAATCAGCCTGTGCAGACTGAAAAGATATGTAAGGAAAGAGGACTGAGGCAATGTATGGCTGCTCAAATGCCTGAGAAAATAAGGGGCCCAGGTGTGAACCATTAAACAAACAGAATTCAGACTTTAGACTTATTTCTCCAGAAAGTAACATTTTTCATAACATCTTTAAAATTAGTTACCTTGAAGGGAACTGCCATCTTGAAAAACACCAGTTCTCTAACTCCAAAAGCAACTGTTGCAATGTTTAGAATAACAGGACATTGAAAGAGTTTCCGAAAATGAAAGACTTTTGCCCAAGAAGAAGCTGAATTATGAGCTATGAAGCCTTTACTGCATCAATCTGGCAATGCATCAGCATAAATGCTTATGCATTCATAACATTCTTCTCCAGGAGAATGTATGACAAACCTTAAGCAAACCTTCAGAATAGTTATCTTTTTTCCTTTAGCCATTACTTTATTTTTAACATGACAACCATAGGACAAATACAGGACAATTTCAGACATCAGCAGTGATGCAGAGGAAAAAACTAAGTCCTCCCAGAACCATGTATGGTATCACACACGTCTTTGGGACATGTCAGTTAAATCCTCCTCTGCCCTCTGAAGCATGATAAATAGAGAAGTTCAGCCTTTTTCTCATCAGCCCTGAAACTGGAGTATAGCTGCCCATTTTGTTTCAGACTTCTTGTTTTGTTGTGTTCTACAAATGACTCAGCTCTGTTCTCTAGGGGTTGCACTACTACTCATTTTTAGACCAAGGAAAGATTATAAAAAAGGCAGTTTCAAAGAAGCATTCTATGAAGACGTTTCTAGGAAACAACTCTTTTCTTTGTTAAAAATATAAACACAAACCAAAGCTTGTTTTTAATAAAGGGACTTTCTGTGCCTGTATTAAAAACACTCATTACAGGTGACATACAATTGGCAAAGATATATATGACCATATCTCTACTTTTAAGGAAACTATTTACAGACTATTACAAAGTGCCCCCACGTGTGCAATGACCAGGTCCTGCGCTGGTTTTTCACACTGAAATCTTCTGGTTTTCTTTCCGTTGCTCAGGAGATTCTACTTTCAGTTTGTCTGTGTGATCAACAACAGCACACTGGCTTCAAAAGACATTTATTTTAGATACCTGTAAGTGCCCACAGTGAAAAGCTGCACCTGCTGTGAGATATCAGAGAGAAGAGTCTCTTTTATGTCTCTGCCATCCAGGTTTGTCCTTCTGTACCACTTCCCATATGGAAGGCTGTCATTCCAAGCCCCTCGCTGTGTTAACCAACATTTCCTCCACTAAAAAACACATTTCCTAAACAATTTGTTTAGAGACCAGGAAAGAGGACAAATCTTACCCATAGGAAACCATCCAGAGCAGAAGGAAGTCTGTAGTGACAGAAGTAGATACAGTCTCAGTTTTCTAACCAAACCTACAGGAAAACTTCAACTGTACAGCACCTATATTAACAAGGGGAGGGGACAGAAGTATCTTCCTGTAGTCATTAGCCACACTCTCAACAGCACTGCATCAAGTAAGAAAGAATATCAGTCCATGTACCAGCATGCTTTTTCCTATTTCCTACTCTTGTTTTAGGTCAACTGGAAGCTTCTTTCTTCAGTTTTTCTAAAATCTCATGTGGTGTTGCTGATACCGAAATCTTCACCACTTTGTCACGAGATTTACCGCCCTGGTTTAGACAAACACAGAAAAAACCCATCTTTCAGAGAATCACCCTTTAAGGTAAGAAAACAGTGCAATTTATAAGATGCTGATCAACAAATGAAGCAGTTTGCCCGTGATTTAGGAAAAACAAGACTCACATCTTTTTGTCTCTATCTCTTCACAACATTTCCTTGGTCATCTTATCCTTTACTATGAGGCTTTAAAAGACTTCTATAACTACTCCATTAAACCAACAGATAAAAATAAAAAGCACTATTTTTCATTGTGCTCTTGTGCTTATAAACTATAAATGAAAATGGCTGGAAAGACTGACTCCAAGTACAATGAATTAATAAAGCAAAATATTTATTCAGTGCAATGACTAAAACAAAGAGTTTCCACTCACCAAAGTCAAGACATATAAATTCTAATACAGAGAAACTCTTGAGGCCCAGCTACAACCCAAGTGTTTACATATCCTCTTGCTTATGTGTGACAGTTAAATGTCAGAATCAAATACAGAAGTTTATAAAAAAAAGTGAAAAGTTAATAAAATGCACATTCTCTGCAGAACACAAATTCTGTAAACTCATTTGACATGAAAACAAGAGAATCTTGAAGGACACAGAAAATATGAACTACAGAGATTTGCAAAACATTATCATGATAACCCTTCCGGTTAAAAGATCTCAAGATCTGTCATAGTTCTTCCTACACTAAATTTGTTCTCAATGAATCATTCCATTAACTCAACTAAACTTTTTAAAGTGTCTTTCAGACTGAACTTGGAGTAGCTCCCTGTACTCAATGTGTAAGTTTCAAAATCTTGAATTTCAACAGCAGTAGGGCAAAGCTGAAAGGAAAAAAAGGAAGTACCTTCTCTAAAACAACATCACTCTTCTTCACTTCAAGCACCTTAGCGAGGTAGCGACACAGCTCTGCATTTGCCTCCCCTTCCGACGGAGGTGCAGCAATAGCTACACCTACTGCCTCTGCTGTCACATCTATAGAAAATAGTTGGAGGATCTTATGCTCAAAATATTCAAAACATCACATCATAGTTTCCTAAAAATGAACGTTTATGCTTTCGAAAGCATTTTGATTTAAAACCGAGTAAATGTACAGATTAGCAGGTGAAGCATTTTCACATTTCATGAATTCCCTTGATTGTCGGCCACTACAATCAAATATTAATTCCTGACAATACAAGCAGTGATTGTCCTGCTTGGCACCATTGTCCTGCTTGGCACCACGTAACACGACTCAAATGAGGTTAGCCCTCCACCCCAAAAGCTGCTTGTTAAATCAGTCTGCTCAGAATCACGCTGTCAGTAAATTCCCCGTAAATTCCCAAGGGGCCTGGACACTGCCACAGCCCGTGGGTGCCGCACACACGGGGGATGTCTCAGCAGTCCCAATGCGTGCAGGAGCAAGGCCAGGGCTGTAGAGGGAGAGCACGTTTTATTAGATCCAACTTTTAAGGCTCTAATAAAACCGCACAGACCCTTGAGACACAAACGGCCTGCACGAAACCACAGAAGCCAAACGGAAGGATTCAGGATCAGGATTTACCCCGTGCTCACCGCGCCACCCAGCGCTGTACACGGGGGAGAGCCGAACTCCTCGCTTCAGTTTCCGGGTGGGATTTTGCGCTTTCCCTCCCTCCGCCCCTGTTCCTCAGGGCGCAGCGATGCAGTGCCCGGTGCTCCGGCCCGCAGACCCACCTGTGACGGCGCTGCAGCGGGCACCGGGCTTGGCGCGCACCGCCACCCTCACGGAGCCGCCGCCCGCCGCCGCCACCGGTCCCGCGGTGGCGGCCGGCTCCGCGGGGCCCTTGGCGGCTGCTTTTCCCTGAAACAGAGGAACAGGCGCGGTCACTGCGGTTACTGCGGGCACCACCCGCCCCTGCCCCCCTTCCCTCTCCTGGCCCTGCCCGCACCTTCCCGGGCATGGCCCCGCCGCTCCGTACCGGCGCCGCCCGCACCCACAGGAACCCAGAGAGGCTCCGCATGGCCGGGGCGGCCCTTCCGGCAACCGCGCCGGGCCCGCCCCGAGGCGCCTGCGCGCTCCGCACGGCCCGGCCGGGCCAGCCCCGTGCCTTTAGCGGGTGCTCCGGGACAGCCGAGCTCTGTGCCCGCAGCGGCTGCTCCGGGACAGCCCGGCCGGGCCGGCCCTGTGCCCACAGCGGCTGCTCCGGGATAGCCGAGCTCTGTGCCCGCAGCTGCTGCTCCGGGACAGCCCGGCCGGCCCGGCCCTGTGCCTTTCGCGGCTGCTCCGGGACAGCCGAGCTCTGTGCCCTCAGCGGGTGCTTCGGGACAGCCGAGCTCTGTGCCCTCAGCGGGTGCTTCGGGACAGCCGAGCTCTGTGCCCTCAGCGGGTGCTCCGGGACGGCCCGGCCGGGCCGGCCCTGTGCCTTTAGCGGCTGCTCCGGGATAGCCGAGCTCTGTGCCCTCAGCGGCTGCTCCGGGACAGCCCGGCCGGCCCGGCCCTGTGCCCACAGCAGGTGCTCCGGGCCAGCCGAGCTCCGTCCCCACAGCGGGTGCTCCGGCACAGCCTCTCCCTGTCTCTCCCGCACGGCCCGGCCGAGCCCCGTCTCTGTCCCGGAACGGCGCCGTGCCCAGGGACAGGAGAGCGCTGGCGGAGTGTGCACAGAGCCGGACGTTTGACAGACACTTGTTCAACACACAGCCTTTGGCCACCCCAAACCTGCGTGACTTCCCCCTTTTCCCCCTTAAGAAAGGAAATTTTCTTATTTTGTCTCCTGCATTCTTAAATTTTAGTATAACGTGGGAGAGGGTACAGGTCTTTGTACACCAAGCCATTATATTACCACATGGTACATACTGCAAAGCACTAAATACTATATACATACAGCAATTGCATCAAATTAGTGTATGCAATCTGTAAAACTCCTTGCACACCAATAATCCTTAGGTTTATACTCATATTTTTAGTACTAGAATATCCAATGATAAAATAACATCATTACAAGTCTCGTATTCTCATTTTCACATTATACATCTTTTATAGGCACATATGTATATATACAGTGGCTATTTGCATAACCAGTTCTATATTCCAAAACAGCCCTTCTGAATTAAGAGAGATTCGGGAAAGATCTGTTTCTTTCTGAATTTGACTTAATATTTATTTCTTCAGTGCTGCTGCAGATGTTCTCTGCAGTGCAAAGTCCATTAATTCTCCACGGCTCTTGGAAAAAGTCAAGATGATGGCAATATGAATGCAGCTTTGCTGACGTACTTCAAAAAATACAATAGCAATCCATGTCCATAGGGTCAATCCAAGGTCATTTTGGAAAGAAGTGCAAGATGGGACTACAGCAGCAGCTTTACTGTCTTTTAAGGACAGATTGGAGAAAACATACACAAGTTGTTCATAACAAGTAAGGATTTTCCAGTTCAAAAAATGAATTTTACTACATGAGAAACAAAGGGGTGAAAACACAAAGTAATTAACCACAAGGTACTACTTAAAACAAATTTTTCAATATACAGAGTACTTATTCCATTAACATTTTGTTTAGAGGAAAAACTAAATTACAATCTACCAATAACGATGCGGAAAAAAATAGCTTTTCTGGTACCCCTCAAACAAATTAGTTTTTGGGTTTTTTTACATATTAAAGTAATTCAACAGAATTTTTTAACTGCTGCCAATAGTGAGCTGAAGTCCACTGAGACACCAACACATTCCAGATCATCCTGTGAAACTAAGTATAAAATATTATTTCTGGTATCTGTCCATCTTCTATTGATGTACCATTGTTGTTACCTGGTGAACTATAAAAGACAAAGCATGTTTTGCTAGCAGTAGGAGATTCGTGGATCACTTTCTTCAAACCTTTTGTTCCATAGTGGGAATCAGGACCCTGAAAAACATCACAAGAGATTAGCAACAGAATGGAAGTGGGCAAGACCCAAAAATTGCTGATGGTCAAACACAACTGACTTGGGCTATTTTAGTAGTATAAAATTTCTGTACCCACATCATATAAATTATATACAAAATCACAGGCAACAGAAGCAAGGACCTATGTCTAAATAACAAAAATATATTTTTCTGACAGCAGACTTAAACCAGTTGATTTTATCCAACTAGTAATGAATGCTTTCAAGTATTTCTCCTTATCACACAGGTTGTCTGTATTCTTACTTAGTTCCCTGACTCAGCTGCTTTTTATGTGCAGCATTTTTTCCAGCCCACCGAACTCTGATTTCTGCATAGGGAATTATATGTAGAAGAACATTAAAATATTTTTGAGAAATAAATTTTTCCACAACACTAAGAGAAGACTTTCCGAGAACAAGTAATTCTTGTCTATTATTTCAGCTCCAGTATATAAAAAGAAATAAAAAAGCTGTTTTCTTGAATTTAGTTAGTGGTTAGAATATCCTTGATAAAAGAAATCAAACTTAAATTTTGATAGAGAGCTGCCAGATCACATCTTCTAGATAGTGCTTTTTTCCCACACAGAACCAGTGACCTCCATTAGAACTATTCTAACTCCCACATCAAGCAAAAAAGTGGGAAGGCACAAAGGATCCAGTGAATGATGATTCCATGCTGTGGCCCACAAGAGATGTAACAGTCTTACAAATTACAGCAGAGCTCTAACTGCGTCCTTCTTTAGCCCTAACGTTAAAGTCAATTCAAGATTTAGAAGACGCTTTCCCATCAGAAGACTGTTAAAAGAATAACTCTTGCATCAAAGTAACACTTTCTTCTGTCCTGTTAGACATTCTTACTTTCAAGGTTGCACAAGCTGTGTAGCAAACCGTGGGCAGGATCTCTATGGGCTCCTTGAACATAACTCTGAAGGTGCTGGCCGTCCCATCACAGCTAAACCCAGTGTCGTTCTGTCCCAGCGTCTGGTTCTTCTCATAGTCAATGATCTGGGCCAAAGCAGGAACATTGTAGCTTTATGTAGCTTTATGGCATGAGAAAGGTTCTGATTGCATGCACGTGAGAAGGTTACAAGCAAGCACTTGCCTACCCCACCCAGCCCAATACAAGGACAGTGCAGTCTCAGCTGGAAGGGAGCTGAGATTTCCTGACTGCCCTGGAGCTGACACAGCAGCTGGAAGCGGTGGCTCTGGGCACTGCTCCAGCCAGGTGAAAGTCTGTGCTTGGGAGATGGAGAACAGCTCTCACACCTTCAGCTCCTGACCTGCATATACAACATCTAATCCTGTGCTTAGGTTTGCTGATCTCTGTACACCTTCACAGCCCACATGAGGGAATCTCATTTGCTGCCCGTGGCTAGTTTATAAAACAAGTTTTTACAGATAATGTCAGCAGTCAATGACACCTTCATAAAAGAAAACAAAAACTTGTGCTGTTATGTTTTATACAATTTATTTCTAATCTTGATTCAGTATAAAAATTCTACTCAGATCACACAATGTTTACTTTGCCTTCAATTTCAGTGGCGAGTAAGAATCACTAGTTCCAGTGTAGTAATAGCACAGCGTAAAACTGTGCTGGTCATGTAACCCTAAGATCTTGTTAAAAAGCTTAGAATATAAACAAAACTAATCTCTACAAGAAAAATAATTCAAATAGACTGAAATTCCACACTCAAAATGGAAAAAAAATATAGTGCTGGATCAATACTCCTAGAAGACAATCCTGACCACAACATGCTAGGGGATCTAACAGGCTACAAGAGCAGGAAATATGATTTTAGTGGTGTCTTCAATTGCCTGCTGGGACCAGGCAAGGGTCACATCAGGACATGAAGCAGGGGGACATTTTTAGATGCTATCACTGGCCACTTCATGAGCCTGCTAACCAATTGCTCAGCAGGAAGAAACGCAACCCTTGATTTGGTACTGAGTGATGAGCAGGATCAGATTCAAAATTTCATAATGGAAACACTATGTAACAGTGTCCATAATATACTGAGAGTCAACACTCCCACATGAACAACAAAAGCAAATCCCCCACAGCTGTGCTAAACTTCAAAAAGAGAAAAATGAGGAGGCTTGTTCAAAAGAAACTAAAAGGAAAAATTACAAAAATCAAATCTTTCTAAGAAGCACACAGGCTACTGAAGAACATAACATACCCAAGTACAATATCAGTACATATTTCCTATTAGGAAAGGCTTGAGAAAAGAGGAAAAAAGATGGATGTTGGGAAACACCTACACTGAAAATGATTGAAGGACAGGAGAATACAGGAGAAAGGGAGCAGTGTTCCATAGTGTTCTTTTGCCTAATCACCCACTTATGCTCACTTGTGACAAAACACAGCTTAGACTCCTGGCCAATCAATTGCTCCCTCCCAAATATAGACCAAAGTGCTAGTGCTTCTGCAAGTGCTACAAGTGTAGCTTCCTTCTGTAAGTTCCTACAAGTGTACAAGCCTATTTAAACATAATATACTGTACCTGTATATTAACTTGATAGTCTGTGGGTCCATGAATAGATCCATATAATCCAAATCCCACTATGGAAATTCTTCTGTTAACTGTGAACCTGATAAGACACAAGAAAGGAATTCAAATAACTCTGGTGAGTGTGTTACCTTACTTCAAGTAGGAAAAAGACTCCCACTGAAGAGTAGGGAAGTAAACTGAGAATGGCATTGCATTGTTTTTAAATAGCATTTTTGTTTAGATTTCAATACTAAGAAAAATGCTTTGCCAGCTTCATAGGTTAAAGCTTTGCTAATTCCTCAAGATATTCAGTATTAATAAACAAAACATAACCAGATTCTTTTCAGTATCTCCAAAATGAAAACAGATCAAGACTTGGTATTTCAAAAAGAAATATCCAGACAACACTCAATCATTCTAGAATGCACCCAATCCTCCCGAACCTCATTCTTGTTTTTATCTCATGTCTGTAATAGCTAAAAAAATGGAAAAGATAAAATGTGTGCAACAGAGCCAGCATGTTTGCTACTGTATCTTATACCAAAAAGTCAAAGTTGAATGATTTGTTCCCTTTCTCCTTTCCCCCCACCCATTTCTGCCTCTCCTTCACAGAGTTTC